CTTTGTAGAGAATGACAGAATGAACACTTAAATAAAAGTATTTTCTCCAGCGTGGCCAGGATGGATATTGGTTTGTTGTTGCTGATTTATTTTGTTTGTTTGTTTGTACACTTAAAAACATCACACCAGTCCTACTGACATTTGTATTTCCTGCTGGGAACTTTCTAAGTATTGACACTTTTGGTCAGAAGCCCCTTTTTGTTGTAGTTTGTTGGTCTTTGGGGCTGATCCTTACAAATACCTTCAAAGCCTCTAAACCAGTGGTTCGCAGCCTTCCTGATGCTTTGATTTTTAATACAGTTCCTCATGTTGTGGTGACCTCCCCTGCCAGTCATAAAATTATTTTCGTTGCTACTTAATAATTCTGCTATTGTTATATATTGTAATGTAAATATTTTAGGCAATCCCTATGAAAGGATCATTAGACCCCAGATGGGGTCGCGATCCAGAGACTGAGATCTATTTCTCTCAAGGAGAAGACCATGGAGGGGCTGCAGAATCAGAGACATTTCTGTTCTGTTGCCTCTGTTCCCAACTCTGACCAGTCAAAAAAAAAAGAGTAGGAAAGGAATCTGAAAAGATTTCTTTCTACATTGGGCCTGGATTCACCTTAATAATCTGTAAGAATGTTACTGCAAACTTAAGCACTTGAGTGCTGGTTTTAAATAGTATATAAAAGTATGTCCTGAAGACAGAGGGTCTGGTTCATGATAAGAAAATCCTTTTTAATATTTGCCCTCCTTTGTGAGCACTTCTCAAAGGAAAAGTAGAGGAACTGAACGTCTGTGTTGGATAAAAACACCCCAAACTAAGAAAACAGGAAAATGTGCATTTAAAAAATCCCCGAAATTTTTGAGTAAGCCTCTTTCTTGTTTGATTTTCCTATATTTACAGTATAGGCATAAAAAGAACCTAAGAATTATTACTGAGATACACCCGAGGGGGATGAGAATGTTTTCTTTGAGATAACCATTGCTTAGACTGAGGAAGAATGATGGCTTTTTGAATTCTGTTCAAATCAAACCTTTCAGGGCAAGCAAAAGCAATGTTAGACCTACATATTTCTGCCTCATATAGGGATGAGAAAATTGGTCCCTTTTGGCCACAATTTCCATTTAATAAACTAGCACATTTCCGTTTTTAAGATTGGAAAGTGTGATATTCTATATAAGTCTGTCTTACCATAAGCCCTCCAGGCTTGTGTCTTAGCAGTTACTCTAGCCTCCAAACAACTAATATAACCTCAGTTCAACTTGGTCTGCTTCAGCGTTATTGGGCCAGGGTCACTTTTAGAGGTCAACAGCTACAGAAGTGCTTCTCTATAGCTGAATCCACGTGTCTTAGCATTTTCAGAAATGACTTATAGATATTTTGAAACATTCAATAGTTTAGACTAGGCCTATCTGTACAAAGATTGTATTTATGTCCTTTTGTACACCCTTTAGAAAATTATCAAATGCAGTCATCTATTATAACTCTTCACTGCAAAGTGCAAGAGCCAACCGCTATAATACCATATATTTTTAGGTACAAGATAAATCTTCAAATATTATCTAAATATAAAATATGGAGGTTGATTGAGATGCATAATGAGATTGTGTTTCCTAAAATCTAATTGCTATATGTGATGAGACATTCAATTACTTTGTCTTTAAGGTTATTATTATTTAATTATAGCATTTTTTAATTACAGCATGCTATACATGAACATCAGCAGAGGACAGCCAGTGTAAACTGTTAGAGCCCAGCACAGTCAAGAGGAACTTGGACTTAACTCGTTTCCATTAGGAAATTCAAATCTGGTAGAGATTATAAAATGTCTAGAAATATGAATTTAAGTATCTCCTAGTAGCTTCCTTTCTAATTTGAAACATCTGGATATTTTGAACCCTCTAATCCGAGCTACTTTACGTACCAAACATTCATACCAAACTAACAACTACTTTTGCCTTGAACATAGGTACCTTAAGAGACAGGGACTTACATGTAAAAAGGTAGTTCTTGATTTATCAATCCTGTGGATGGCAGTATTCTAGCAATTTCCCCACAAAAAGGGTGATTATAATACTTTTAAAATAACAATTATGCCATTATCTGGGGGGAAAGATAAGTCTCTATTAAAACCATGTCTACAGCTACAGTGACACCGCTCTCTTACCTAGGAACTCATATTGAGGGGAAGGAGGTGGGGCACGATTGATTGACAGATGAGGGATCCAGTAACCTTCAAGGTTTATTTGGGAAAAATAAAAAGAAACTTTTGTTACTAGACACTGTGTTGCAATTCCTTAGTTCCCCTCCAGCTCAAAACCCTTCCCTCCTCAGCCTCAATCTGTTTCCTAAGTATCTCACAGTATACTCGGCTTCCAATCAAAAGCTGATTCAAAGCAAATCCCAAAGAGGAATGTTCAGTTTTTTTTTTTTTTCTCCTGAAATTTTTGCGGGTTTATTTAAAAGTTACCTTTAAAGATTTTCTTTTAGAAAATTACTATTTAATAGGAGACACTCATGCTCTTATGAAACTGTGATCCCAGAGTGACATTTTCATATCTGAGAAGTCAAAGTTGATGCCTCTTTTTGTCTGTTTGTTTGTTTGTTTTTTTTATGTTTTGAGTTTCTCTAATGAAAGGTGCTACTAGGTCAAGGATATATTTACAGTAACCAATAGTGAAGTTAGCAACAGAATGTCTTGCATGCTAGATTCTAAATGCTGTACAAAGTGCTGTAGAATCAGATTAGTGCAACTGTAGAGAATCAGTGAGCAGAGGCAAATGCATGATACTGCTGCAGACAGAGAGAAACAGGTTGATATGTTTGGTAAGGAACCATCAGGGCCTGGGGTGAGGACATCCTTGTTGGGTTCTTGGGGGCCCACTAAAAGTGGCTGACGGTGCTTGGAGAGTTAGAGGGAAAAAAAATCTACAACAGAGGGTGTGAACATTTGCCAGTGTTTCATAGTGTGTTTTGGAAATTATGAAATATTTGACTCTGCCAAGAGGAGAGTTGGCAGAAATTGAGTCTAAAACTAGGCAAGAACCACCAAGGAAAGTGCTGATGGATGAGGAGAGGAGGACTCTCTGACTCCATTCTGAGGGCTGTTGGATTAACAGCTGCTGGTGTGTGGCATGCTCATCTTCCATGGCTGCCGCCTTAAATGGTTAAGCCACGTGGGAGAATGGAGCTGGGGTAGGTAATGAGTGAGCCTGTCCACCTTCCTGTCATGTTCTTGTCCCACGAAAAGACAGCACAAAGTCAACAGGGCATATCAGTTAGGTGTGCTGTAGCTATTTCTACAACCTGTTCTAAAAGTTAACCCAAGAGAAATGAATAGAGAATGATTTCCTTGCCTCAGGTGTGTTTTTTTGTTAATTCTAAGAGTCCTTTTGGGGGTAGCATAAAAAGGAAATGAAATTGAAAAGGGGTTATTTTTACCATTCATTTTGTCCTCACTGTTCATTTGCTTTTCCTTGAAAACTAAACTAAGTACAATCCCGTTATCTCAGCATTTTTCCCCCACAGAAATCATCCCCTTCAGTCAGAGCCATGTTCATACATAGCCTTTTCCAATGTGTTCACGTTTCACTGTGCCGACGATTCTTAGTCTAAATCTTTAGATCCTGAATTCTGATGACAGAAAGAAAGTTATGAAATTCCTCCCTTGTTATGCTTTATGATTTGCTCCTCTGAGGGTATGCTACCATATGAAACAGGTGATTCAAGTTTACACATGTCAGCGAAAACATCACAATTAACATTATCAGAAGACTCCTTCTGCCATTTAGTCAGAAAAAGACAGTAAATAATAAATTACTTCTTGGAAAAAGATCTCAGTTACCATGTATTTGAAATTTCATGGCAAACTCCATCTTTAGCTCATAGAAATATGTTATCAGAAGTTTTCAGATAAATGATTTTTGCTATTTTCAACAGCATTATAAGAAATCCGACCTTCCTGACATACCAGCAGTAGAATTGCCTTAGGGAAGGCTAAAATGGTGCTAAAGCAGAATTTAATCATTTCTTGGCTCATTCCTTGCCAGGGAGTTTGATTTGGCTGACCAATCACCAGCTTGTTCCTAAGAGACTATAGAGGAAAGAAATGCCTCTGAAGGGGCAAACCCCTATTCAATTCAAAGTCTGTGCCACTTTCAGGCAGTGACCAGCGGCAGACATCACCCCCGTTATTGGTGTATCTGCAGGAAGTGCGTGCTATTTTCTGTGTCACTGTCCTATGGAATCTACTTGTGAAAAGAAGTTTCCCTGCCACGTACTATAGCTGCACTTGAGTTCAATGCAAAGACTCCCATCTCTTTTCTTTCCCTGGATTCTGAGCCTGGGAGTACAATGGAGGTGTTGTGCCCTGGGGTAGCCTGGCACTGGGGTAGCCTGGCACGCAGGATACTGGAAGAGGAGGTGTAGGCAACTTGCAATACCTTACAGTGTTTGCTCTGTAACTGCTGAGGGCTAAATCAAACAGCATGCCGGGCCATTCGGTTCAGAATACAAGTACAAAATGCACTGGCTATTACGACCTATAAAGGGAACAGAAATACTTGCTTTAAAGGTGTGCCTAGGTGTAAAGATTTGAAGCACTGACGAGGGCTGAAGACAAATGCTTCACAGCTTGCATGCTGCCGGTTTACTGTGTAGTTCTTTTAACGTGTCAAAGGGCAAGTCACAAAAGAACCCATTGTTCTGTCAGAGAGAAAGGTTATTGGCTATCAGGTCTGTCCAGAAAGACAAGCCATCACAGTTTGTTAAAACAGTAAATATTTATTTTAAATCCTAACACAAAGCAGCAGTACTCTCTTCTTTACCAGACAATTTCTGGAACCTCGATTCACCGAGGTAACTCTCTATCTTAGACACTATTTTTGTGGGAGTAATGCGAGCGTCTCCCCCTTAATTTCAGATCCCTAACGATCAATGTAAAATTTCCGGGTTAAGTTTTGCTTCAATTCATTTGTATCCCGGGCTTTCAAGAGAGGGGAAAAGCTTACCTCCGTCAGTCCAGTGGGATGCCCGGAGCCCCTTCCTCAGCCTCCGCTGCAGCGTGGAGGAGCAGATGCCCTGCGAGCCCACGGTCTGTTAACAGGAAGCAGGTGAAGCCGAGAGCGTCCGCCCGCGTTCCAGCCCAGTGCCCATCCGCGCGCGCACACCTGCTGTCCCAGACCTGCGGCTCGGGAGCAGCAGCCTGGCACAGGACCCGTGCTGGCAGGGGGCGACCCCCTCCCTTCAGAGCCCCGGGCCTCTCAGCTCGGGAGCTGCCGAGACAACCGTGCGGGGAAGGCTTGCCTGGCCGAGACAAAACCCTTTCCTGCTGCCCGCGAGCGGATACGCAGCATTATCACCCTGCGTTCCCCCGCTCTCCAATCAGCTAATTGCAAAGGCAGTCAGCAGCTTGTCGCAGGGGCGGCTGGCGGGCACACGTGGCCGCAATAATTGTGCGCTGGCATGCCTGATGTGGCTCTCTTCGTTCAAAAAAAAGATTTATTATTATTATTTATTATTATTATTATTTTTAAATTTGCTTCTTCCTGGGTGAAGCTCTGTGCCACACTGCTTTCCCTAAGTAAAATGGCTGGTCCTCTCAGCGCGGTTGCAGACAGCTCATTGGGTTCCGCTGGCTTTTCGTAGCCATAGCAACAGCCAACAGACAGACCTAGCAAGCATGGCTGGTCATGTGCAGCGCGCTACACAGCTTGTTAATTTCTTTTTTCTCTCTTTTAAATCAAACGCATCGTTTTTCGAAGGGGGGGGGGACCAGCTTCTGTTACCTTTCTAAATGTTTGAGCGAGAACGCAAGCGCCCTGGGTCCCCCCTCGGCCCCCGCCTTCCCCCCCCCGCCCCCCCGCCCCCCCCCCCCCCCGCCCTCCCGGCTTTTCTGGGGAACTTTTGTTGTATGCATGCGTCACTGTGACCCTGTGAGATCAGATCGAGGAAGAAGCTGTATTCTCATCTATCCAGGTTAATAATATGCATGTCGCCACAGGGGCACCATGGAACTGTGGGCAAAACCAGGTTCGACCTTGGCATCGCGGAAGGAAAGGCCGGGAAGGACACTGGTAAATGTGGACAGCTGTGGTTTTTATTTGCCAGTGACAACCTTATAGCCAACTTAACTCAAACAAAGCCTCGTGAATAGTGTGTTGTATCTGGTCAAATTAATAATAGTCCAGTCAGGTAGGCAAGTTTATCAATTCTGAATTATCCATATATCTAAAGAATGGGCTTAAACATCTCTAAACATTGTACAGTTTAAAGCAGAACTTTTAAAAGTTCTCTTGTTGTTTCTGTAGAAAGCTACCTTTAACTCAACTATACTTTATTTTTAATGTTAAGATACTTCTAGAAAAATCCAAACCTAATGAAAAATCCTTTGAGAATTAATTACCTTCAAGGCAGGAGTAGTTTGGATTGTATTCCACACTTTCTTAAAAGCCCACCTCCTCAGAGAATCTTCCATGGTTAATGCCATTAACAATTTAAATCTTCTAAAATCCCCCCAAGTCTTTTCTACTTTTTAAGCATTGTCATCAGTCATGTTCTAGTTAATATATTTTCAAAGCAGTGCCATTACTTAGTTTTGCTTCTAGAAATCTGTTTGAAATAGTGTTAACACTTTGGACTTGTAAACAGACAAGTTTCGTTTGCTAAGAGACATTGATTTGTATTTTGTAGGTATCGCATTTTCCTGCCCAAGTCAATATTCCTGCCTTCTGCAGTCATTCCCAGGGCCAGTGTGACAGGAACCCTGTACATGTAGATTTAGGGATCCCGTCTCCTCTCCCTGTCCAAGCAGATTCATATTTGATCTGCACAGGATCAGTATATCCAGTAATAAAGGCCTGGATCATTCCTGCTTAGTTAGTCCCACACTTTGTATGGTCACTGGAGTTATCCTCTGTTAACCCACTGAGTTTGCTGTCTTGAATAGATTACTGCAGTTCCTTGAGCATGTCTGCTCTTTGATTTCAAATGTCCACCTCCCAAGAGGCATAAAAGTCCTTGCGTCCTGAACTCCTGGATACTTCTGATTCCTGAAAGGCTCTTTGCTGAACCTCGTTCTGTGCCTTTAACTTCGATTGCAAGGTGCCTCTTTATTCTTCAGCATCTTGCTCACATAGATCCATCCATCACCAGTGGCACTCTCAAAAAGTTTACTTCTGCTTTCCCACTGTGCATGGGATCTGTCTGTCTCAATTATCTAGGGACTCGTGCCATTATATATATATATATATATATATATATATATATATATATATATATATATACTGTTTTTCTCTGCCACTGCCTGAAAGCCAGTCTGAAAGCTCATACATTATTGCCTTCTATACTTTACTACAGTAACTCCTCAATGCATATATTTTCTTGAATGTAAGACAGGATCTAACTGTGTTGCCTAGGCTGGTCTCCAACTTTTGGACTCAAGGAATCCTCCTGCTTCAGCCTACTGAGTAGCTGTGACTGCAGGTATATGACACTATGTGTAGCTTCCTTAATACTGAATGATATCCTACAGCGCTGGAATGTTTTACATGCATTCTGAATTTTATCTCATTTTCAACAGTCAAAACACTTACGAATGCCATCATTTCAGGAAAACTGAAGTGATTCTAATTAAACATTGGCCCTTTATAAATGCTACCAACAAATATTCCGAGGTTATTTTGGATTTTTGTATGAGTTTTTTTTTTTCATGGCATGCCTGACAATGTCTTTATGCTACCTACATGATTGTTTAGCTGGGTATAGAAATCATTAATGTCATTTTCCTTTGGGATTCAGAGTCTCCTTTCTTTAGCATGTATCTCCTGCATCCATGATGCTATCAACAGTTCTTCCTCTAAAGAAAAGACCCTGAAACCCCCACATCGCACAGGACTAGAAAAGGCTGCTAGGAACTGAAACCCATCCCTTGCTATTTCTTGACCCTGTGGTATCCTTTAAGCATCTCTATCCCTCATTAGCCACTGGATACTGGTCCCAGGACAACCTCCTCTCACCAAGGATAGCATAATCATCAGATGTTCAAGTCCTTCATATTAAATGGGGTGTTCACATACAATTTATGTCTAATTCAGTGCAAATAAATGCTATGTATGTTGTATCATGTTACTTAGAAAATAGTGTTAAGAAGTCTGGATACATATATTTTTTTTAATAAGGCAGGGTTTCATTAGCCCAGAAGGACCTTGAATTTGCAATGTAGTTGAGGTTGAATTTGAACTCTAGATCCTGCTGTTTCTGCTTCCTAAGTACTAGAATTGCAGGCATGCATGGCTATGCATCACATCACACAGAAGAAATTTGTGAAATTTTTTAAAATTTGTGATGGTATGAATCTGCCAATGTTGAGCCCAAGTTTGCAGAGGGCTTGCTAAGTACATCTCTGTATAAGGGCATGGGTTCTCATTGGCTTTTGCTTTATGTCAAAATCTCTCTCCTCAAACTCTGTCTGGCATGGCTTATCAAACTCTCTAGTGCTATGGGTCCATTCTAATTCACATCTCTAACATTTATTCTTCTGGTGAAAGTGCCCATTTCAAACATTACTATGAACAGGCTTTCAAGAAACAACTCTGGCCTTCCTAACACATCTTTCGTTGTGGGATGAGATTTTTTTTCCAAATTGCTAATGTCTTGGACCTCCCCACCCTTTGGTTTCATTAGTCAGGATGCTTGGTATCATCTACTTTTTAAATTTCTGCCAGGGTAGTAGCTGCAAAGTCATCGTTTATTATGGTTGTACTTTTCAACTGTCTAGTCACTGAAAAAATTGAACATCTCTTTATTTGGGGATCTTTCAGGTCACCTCCTCTGTCAAGTTCTTATTGGCAATTTTGCCTGTTTCCTCTATTGAGGTATTGTCTTACAGTGGAATTTTAAGCAAAAATGTCCATAAAATATTTTCAAGTTTCTATATACCATAATTATATTTGTTACATAATTAAAAGTTAATAAGATATCCATTGACATATAGAGATAATACATACACTATTTGGGGGAGTTATTATGAAATAAAATGAAGAATGTGGATAGAAATTTCCATTTGGAATTATGTTCTGTTTGAAAGTATTGCCACACTAGAATATGATTTTTCTAAAATAAACACAGTGTACATTTAGAAATACTAGCTATAACATTAAAATTACACAATGTCTATTACCTGTTGTCCTTTAAGAGCTAAGTTTCACCACATACAAATTTATATTATCTATAATTTATCTATCTCTACCTATCACCTACCTATTTATCATCTAAGAGCTAAGTTATGCCACACACACAAATATAGCCATATATGTTATGTAGCTTTTGTCTCTCTGTTTATTACCTATCTACATACTTATCTATCAATTTTCATATCTATCTACCATCTATTATCTATCATCATCTATGTCTATATATCTACCATCTATTATCTATCATCATCTAATGTCTATATATCATTTATCTACCTATCATCTATCATCATCTATGTCTATATATCTACCATCTATTATCTATCATCATCTAATGTCTATATATCATCTATCTACCTATCATCTATATCTATCTATCTATCTATCTATCTATCATTTACCTATCTATCTATCTATCTATCTATCTATCTATCTATCTATCCATCTATCTATCTATCTATGTATCTATCATGATCTCTCTCTCTATTATCTATCACCCCTCTTTAAATAAAGGCAGTAGGATTATGCAACATACCAACCCCTGGTGGATCTTCAGTGAAGGATGTTTTTATTTTATTTTTCAATTCTTCTCACTTTTCTATAAGTTTGAAGTCTTTCTTTTCACGTTTCAAATCTTTTAAAAATGGAACAAAATGTAGTGTTTGAAATAAGATAACCATTTTAAGCTTACCTGATGGTACATAACTTCTTAGTAAAGTTAAAAACAAAGATTGATAAAATTATGGACTAACTAAGCCATTAGTATTATTCTTAATAATAAGCTATTTTGGTAACAGCCGTTGAGAATATATGTACTTTTTTTTTTGAAAAGAATTTGCTGTTTCCCTGCATTTGCTGCTTCTCCTTGTCTTGCTCATAAGCCACTTACCCACTGGCTCCCAAGTTGAAATCCTTCTTAATGTGGTTCCTTCTTTGCAGTAAAGCTCAATGAGAGCATTGTTGCCTAGATCAACATTCTCCTGGGGCACACCTATCCTAGAGCCTTCATCACTGGTTCTACCAAAAGGTCCTGTCTCTAGTGTAACAAAGAGACTCTTTGTGAGACTCACTGTGGGGAATAAAACTGGAGTGTGGTTTGTTTAATGGAAGCAACACAGTTTTATAAAGCTCGCGCAGAGATTTCCAATTCCTAATAACAAATGGAATGGGTCAAAGGTTGTTCCACAGTCCTACATGTTTAGCCATTTTCACAAGGACAGGAATAATGTGCATTCTAAGTGAGACTATGATGGCAAGTGTGATGATCACCTTGGGTAGGATTAGGTGGGGGTTGGCGATTGGAAAAACAAAGCAAATTCTCCAAGATGCCATACTGGGAAGCAGACACCTCCTCAGGCGGTTGAGTACATGGCTTCCTAGCTAGCAAAGAATCCCAACTCCCATTAATATCTGGTGACATTTATCTGTCCTGCCCCCAACACCAAAACCAGTTCAGTCTACTGAAGGCTTGTCAGAAACCCATATACCACATAAATAAAAAATAAGAAAATGATTACAGAAGAACCAAATCTTATCGCAGTAGTGGTGAG